GAGCCTCCACAAGCTTCACTTCCCGGTTTTAACGTCTAGCTTTAGACCATTATTTGATCTGCCCGACGCGCCAAGTGCAGTACCCCCCACTAGTAGTGAATGGGTCCCGGGGAGGCCTGTGCCGAAGCCTTGGCGATTCTATTAGGCGTTCCCGAAGGAATTGGCTTGGATTGGCGCTGAGCCGGTCAGCTATGCCGCGTTTGTCCTCACAAAGTTTCGACATGGGAGGAATCGAACCTGTGCCCTCTCGGAGGGTTTAGACACTAGCTCCAGCGCCTTCAAAGAAGGCCTTTCTTAGCCGCGGCCTAAAGGTAAAGGTGGGGAAGAGCCTCCACAAGCTTCACTTCCCGGTTTTAACGTCTAGCTTTAGACCATTATTTGATCTGCCCGACGCGCCAAGTGCAGTACCCCCCACTAGTAGTGAATGGGTCCCGGGGAGGCCTGTGCCGAAGCCTTGGCGATTCTATTAGGCGTTCCCGAAGGAATTGGCTTGGATTGGCGCTGAGCCGGTCAGCTATGCCGCGTTTGTCCTCACAAAGTTTCGACATGGGAGGAATCGAACCTGTGCCCTCTCGGAGGGTTTAGACACTAGCTCCAGCGCCTTCAAAGAAGGCCTTTCTTAGCCGCGGCCTAATAACTCAAAACGAGCAACTTGCCATTTTCCAGTGCTACTATCGAATTGCCGCGATTGGCGCGGCGGAACCTGCTACCCCAGATTTCACTGGTGCGCCCTAACATTGAAAGCTCGATTTTATAGCTTTAGATCCGACGCGCCTGCCGCCGTTTGTGTCTTGAAATGATCCACAACACATTTTTACAACGGCCAGTCCAGTTGTGGCATCTGGTGGTGCTCATCCTTGTAGCATTCACAGTAGCTTCTCTATGGGGACATTTTATATCTTCCATGCTCCGCCCTGGCCCCAGCCAGCTTGTCGCAAAGGGTGAAGGCTTCCACGTGTCTCGAGACCCCCCCCCGCGTCTACTTATTCGCCAACAACTACGACGCAAACTCAACTTGGGAGTCGATTCAGATTCAAACGGGGACCTACTGTTCATGTTCAATGACGCCTATCCGCTGAAATACTTCGCTGATATCCCCAGGGAGCAGATTATATGGATGTTGCGCGCCGAGGACGACACGCGGTACAACGGGCAAAAACTGATCCCCGAGTTGTTACATCACTTCGACACTCTGATTTTTCTAGGCGGTTGGTTGGAAAGCAACCCACACATCACAGAGCTGATCAAGCTGCCACACTTTGAGACACTCCATTGGGACTCCAGCTTTGTGGCGGACCTCCGGTCCAGTTACTACAATCCGGAAAGAACGGGTCCGAGTTCAGGATATCTCGCCTTTAAATATGTACAGAGATACCATCCATTCCATAGGATAATCACAGTTGGCTTTACTGGGGAAGGCGTACCATCTCACAATTTCACATTTGAGAGACACGAATTTGAAGCGGCCAATGTAACCGCGCTTTGAGCTGCTGGGTAGATTTTTAGGCATTCGTTAGTTTGATATGGCCAGCATGGCGTTACGGGATCAGCACGAGTGCATGTTGCCAGCAAAATCGTCGATGTGCTGCCAGGCGCTGGAGCTAGTGTCTAAACCCTCCGAGAGGGCACAGGTTCGATTCCTCCCATGTCGAAACTTTGTGAGGACAAACGCGGCATAGCTGACCGGCTCAGCGCCAATCTAAGCCAATTCCTTCGGGAACGCCTAATAGAATCGCCAAGGCTTCGGCACAGGCCTCCCCGGGACCCATTCACTACTAGTGGGGGGTACTGCACTTGGCGCGTCGTGTGTGTGTGTGTGTGTGTTTTACAGGGATTGGGCACATTAATGTGCTGGGGCCGAACCCGCTTACCCTGCCGGCTGTCCAGCACTAGGGTCACTCAGTATGTCCCTGGATGTCCAAGCAATGTCCATGGCGCATGTCCTATGGACCTCCCGGGAAGCGGACTGATCGGACGTCCGTAGACCTACCGCTGACATCCCAGGACGCCCCACCCCTTGCTGGACGTCCACGCCTTGCTGGACGTCCACTTAATTGATGGACGTCCAACCCCCTGTTGGATCTTAGGACCTCCTCGGACGTCAATGGAAATTACAATGGACCTCCGTGGGCATGACACAATAGAATTGGCATGCATTGTTGGTATGTCACATGGCTTGCACAAATTCACTATGTTGTTCATTGCATCATGCTTGCCAAGCCATGTGAAAATGCAATATGTTGAATTCATACGCTACTCCTCCCCCATGCTGTTCTCCTCCTCCTCGCTGCAATCCTCCTCCTCCTCCTCGACTGCATCACCGTCGCTGTCATAATTCTCTTCCTCCTCCCCCTCGCTGCTTTGCTGCTCAACCAACTCCTCATCGGCAACCCGTGCAGCCTTGCTTGCCTTCTTCAGGGCTGCCGAAGCCTTCCTCTTGTTCTTGTTGGCAACCTTGGTGGAATCAACCATGGCACGCAGGTTGGCGCAAAACTGCAAAGGAACACGAGGGTAGTGTGTGAGTTCGGTTCGGTGGTGGTGGTGGGTGGTGTCCATACTCCTAAGCATGTGCGCAACAGCCCACACTAGGTTTTTCAACAGCCCACCAATGTCCACCAACATACCATGCCCACCTCTCCATTATCGACACTGGTCTCCTGAGAGTCAGGCTCCTCCATGGGTGGTAGATTGTTGCCGTTGCCCAAGCCCTCCTCGATATCCTCACCGCCCTGCACCGTAACCAAACATGACAGCATGACTATTAGTCATACGTCTTGATGGGATGGATACAGCGCAACCAATGCATCATGTGCCGCAAGTTCTATGACTCCCTGCGTCGCCCTTTTGTAATGCACTAACCTCTGCATTGTCTACACCTCCCATTGTCCAACGGACCGGAACCGCCTTGGCATTGCTTGCACCGTGCTCATCGCAGTGCGTCTTGTA